GATACCCTTGAGTCAGATTTATTCAACATGAAGGCTCCCAAACACACTATCACCACAAAATGGCACATTTGCATTTCCCATTAAGAAAGAAAAATATAGATATATATGCAAATGAAACTCCTATCTAGGTTTATTCCATTATGCATCATCCATTTGGACATTAACAATAAGTGACCATTCCTCTCCCCTCCTTATTTAACTTGTGGATTTTCACCTGATTGGCACATGTATACAATATGCACACAACTGCCTTTCAAGAGTTTAGATAAAAAAAGTGAACTCTAATAACTTCTCTCTTTTTTTTGATAAAAGTGTAAAGGTCATTTAAAATAATTTTTTCAGACTGACATCATTCACTGTAAAGCAAATTCATCATTAAGTTGACTTTTTTTTTTTCTTTGCTGCCTGATATTTGACAAAGAAGGTTAAATCATTTTAAATTAAATAACTAATGTATGCTTTCTGATCTTGTTCATCATTGGGTGGGAATCTTTTAAAAGTATAGCGAGGTTGCTAAAGTTTTAGCATGGGGAGGCGCTAGATGCAGCAGCACAGAAATCAATCTCACAACTCTCCAGCTACTATAACATCACAACAACAGCATGTGTTGGCAAACTAGAAAGCTGAATGTTCGTGGGCAAGTCATTTAACGCTACCTGACACAAAAATCATGGCTCGGCCCAATCCACTTTGTTTGTTTCCTATTAGCAGACCGCGAGGACATAATTGTTGAATTTGACAAAAAGACATATATTGGATTAGAATCACCTTTAAGCACCCTTGGTGGTAGTGGTAACTATTCATTGTATAACTACACCTTAGCTTCCCCTCTCCATCTGTTTTCAGCAGTTTAACTGGCTCGTGCTCCTGTACCCAGTTTGGTTATTAAAAGCATTTTACTTTGAAACCGGCTGTGGTCGAATTAAAATGGACAGATGGCATGGTGAATAAACCCTTATATTCTATATGTCTCCCCTAACATACATGTATAGGAGGCTCTGAGCTAACTATGGGACACAGGTACCCAGGGAGTCCACCAGATGTTTGATAGGCTCACCTGCAGGCCTGCTGCGTGCTGGCAGTAAAATTCATGCACTGCATATGCTGCAATTAGACCACAGGGAAATAAGCTGCTGTAATAATGAAGTAGACTGGAAACATGAGGAGGAAAAGCAAACAAGCTGTTTCCTTTGGAAAAACACAGCCTCTGTCCATGCGTACTTACTTGGGTTTTACTTGGTTTTTACTTTTTAAGTAAAACAAAAAGAGCGTTTTCACTGTGTAGGAACTAGATTCTATCTTCAGTTTGGCTGAGCTCCAGTAGGTGGTGCTGAATGCAAAAAAAGAAATCATATCCTTTCTGCAGGATTGACTGAACTATAACTGAGCAAACTGTTCAGGAAATTAAGCCATAAAAACAGTCCTGCAGTTGCAGTAAAATTGAGATTGTTCAACAATAATGTGTGGCAGCAGGAGTAAAGTTAGTTCAGGTAGAAGGATTAAATGTCCCATTGGTTTTTTGATCTTTACAAGCTAGTTTTGCGTAGAACGCTCTGCCAAGACGTGGGGTGTAATAAAGGTGCAGACATTCATCCTCTGGTTTGCCTCTTACGGCACTTATATGATCTATAAAGGCACAAATTGATTTCACCTATCAATGCAGGCATTGTTTAACGTGACGTAGCTCAGATGTTGTGCATGTGTGTTTAATAACCAGGGTCCTAACTGGATCATGTTGTATAGGCTCTGCTTCTCAAATTACTCCTTCTCAAGAAAGGCCACTGCTCGAGAAACTGAACCATTTCAGCTCTGCAGTGTTTGGTGGTTTGCCCCCCCCAAAGACCCCAACAAAAGCGATAAAAATAGCTGTTTGCAAAGGAAGAGCTGGTGTGTGTCGGTCCCCATCTGCAGCGATTAAAAACAACAAAAAAGTAGTAATCACAAGTAAACCCCAAGCAAACTGCCGAATCATTCATTCCCAGTTTTGTGCTGATGAGCAAACACAACACCACCCACGTTAATTGCTGTGACCCCAGCAACCCACCAGAAGGAACATTGACATATTGTTTGTCCAGCGTGAGACACTTTATAATTTACACTCACTAATGACTGGAAATACAGGCTGAAGGACCACGTCTGTCCCTGGCTTGGCCCTTATTCAATGTTCGCCCTGGACTCTTCTAATGGATAGTCCATCTGTACCTCAGTGAATTCATATCCCTCAATGCATGCCTATAATTCAATTACAAGACTTGTTTGGTGTAAAGGGTTTGATAAATAATTCACTATTGGCTGGAGAATCTCCACCCTAATCAAAACAAAAACAAACTTCATCTCATTCAGCACTGTTGTGTTTTAAATGATTCCATGGTAAAAATGTAAAAAAAAATAAAATAAAAAAAGCATGTTGTGAAGAAAGACATATTACCATTCCCATAGGGTCGACCTTGACCTTCAAACTCAATCTGGCTATTAGGACTGCCCCTCCCCAGCACCCCTGAGATGTAAAGAGGGTGACGGTTTTGACCCCTGATCCCATTTCTTAACTAGGCTGAGGAGCCAAATAACCTTTTGACCCAGGAAGCATTTTCAGGTTGCCTGAGCAACCTCCGATTTGGCAGTGATTGGCAGGTCCATACAGTTTCTTTATCTTCTTTTTTTTTAACAGAGGGGACAGCAACACTCCTCTGCAAGATACATAACAGAAAACGACAGTTTAGGAGTTGTAACGTGTCAAATATGCTCAGAGAAAATGGGCCGATTAGATATTCTATTGTACTCAGTTGGCACATTATTATGCTAGATAGATGCAGAATAAATTTCCCTTAATAAATGAACGCTTTACATGGAAATGAATGTGTGAATGGAATGGATGGATGGATGTCATTATATCAGATGGAGGTCTATGTAAATTAACTATGTGCAGATTTGACATGTGGTGCAAATCACAGAAAACACCAGCGCCGAGGATCATGACAGGAATAAATCTGCCTATTTTGGGAGACACCTTGTGTTCTTTGACGTAACCCTTAATCCACACCCCAAATATATTTTCAACAAAGGGCGAGCCACTAAAACAAACTTGAGATGTTTTAATTTTGCTGGTTGTAATGTAGGGGTAGACCATTTCATTATGATTGACCCAGGGGAATCTAAGGTTACCATCTGGCCACTGGCCACCATTGCTGATCCTTGTTTTAATATGCAAATGTATCTGTTTGTCCAACCTTGATGTAATCACAAATGTAACCTGACTGAATGGACCAAACAACAGGACCATGTGCACATGTGATAACCGACGGTCTTCATGCAGATGCGGCTAAAATGAGCAGTAAGACAAAAAAAGAAAAAAGATATACTGTTTTACAATGTAAAAGAAGAAATACTGATCATCTTCTCCCAATTAGGACTTTTTCTTTAAACTGCATTGACTCAAACTCAAGTATATATTATTGTTAGTAGTTTTTTAAAATCCTAATTAATGGACATCACAGAACAAAAAACATGGGATTGCATCTAGAAAACAAACAATATCCCATATGTTGTTCTCAACATATCCCAACAGTAGTGTGTTACAGAGCTACAGACTATGTACAACCAGTTGTGTAACATTGGAGTTGCAGATCTCTTGTAGTCTCTAGCATTATCATCAGTGCTCAAAACACAGGCATATCTTTCTTGTCAAGGTGCTGAGTGAGTCCAAAAAAGTGCATTTCTGCATGTCAAGGAAGTGCAGCACTGTTAACTGCTGCCTTTAAAATTCCTACTTTATTACATCAGGACAGTACAGTGTTTCGAGACCCAAGTTTAAGTTTTAGCTTTCATCTTTAAATCATCATTGCTGTGGTGAGGGCTACATATCTTTCAGTGTTTGATAATGGATTAAAGCACAACAGTAAACACAGAGTGTGTTCTAACTTACAGTAACTGTACCTTCTTTGACCACTGTCTCTCATTCCTTGCAGAATATAGTGTTAGTTAGTCTTATAGAAATTCTGTGAAGGTTCTCAGTCATCCAGGTCATAGTTATCCAAGGATGGTTAAAGTCAATAGCAACTGAACTTGTGCTATTTGCTACTGACTTTAAAATTCCTTTGATATTATAGAGGTTTGCACTTTAACAATAATAACATATTCCTATTTGCTGTGTGAATTTTTGAAAGTCTCAGCTAAAAGGAGTTACTCTGGGAGATATTGTTGATCCTGTGTGCCCTATTGGGTGGAAATTCTCTTTTACATTTGAAAGTCCTTTCTGAGCTCTATTAGAGAGGATATCTTTCAGTTATGTGGCCCCGTATGATCGTTGTTATTACCAATATGTGAATCAGAGTATCCCCGTGACCTGACCCCAGACAAGCGGTTCAAGATGGATGGATGGAATCAGGATGGATGGTTTGTTCCTTTGATGGATGACTGAGCACAGTGCAGCTGTCTCTGTTTTATTTGTGCCAGTCAGCTGCAATATTTATTTCTGAACCCCTCGGTCTGGTCCAGGGTTGTTGTAATGTAGATTGTTCATTTCATGTTTTGGGACTAGTGAACCTACATTGAGTTGATTAACTATTATGCATTTGCTGTTCCAAGAAATAATGATAATGTTTTGTACTGGGCTTTGCTAATACAACCCCCTACGATGCACAGGAAGTTATGTGTTTGGATCCAATGATGCAGGAACAGGCAGAGAAGAGCACCACCTGCAGAATCCCAAATTTCACCAGCAGAACAGAAATGCTTGTCCCCAAAGCACACACACAGAAGCAAAATGACTTTGTGTCTAGTGGACTGTGGTGGAAAGGGAGATGACATGAGATGAAGGGATAGAGAAATGGGAAGGACATGCAACAAAGGTCCTTGGTTAGACATGAACCAAGGACGTTGCGATTCATGTCTTGGATCAAACACTGTTTAAAGTAGTGCTCAGACTTGAGATCTTGATGATCAATGCATATAGTGTATTGCATATACAGTATATATAAATGTAACTGTCTTCTTTTCCACAGCGGAGCCCCTGGTGCAGGTGAATGGGAAGCCGAGCTGCTGCTTCTTCAAGTTCAGCCCCAAACTGATGTTCACTAAGGTGCTGAAGGCCCAGCTCTGGGTGTACCTGCGACCGCTGCAGCAGACCTCCACCGTCTACCTGCAAATCCTCCGACTGAAGCCCGTCACGGAGCAGGGCAGCCGCCACATCCGCATCCGCTCCCTGAAGATAGAGCTCAACTCCAGGGTCGGCCACTGGCAAAGTATTGACTTTAAGCACGTGTTGCAGAACTGGTTCAAACAGCCGCACACCAATTGGGGAATCGACATCAACGCCTTTGATGAGAGCGGCAATGACCTGGCAGTTACCTCGCTGCGACCCGGGGAGGAGGGGCTGGTAAGGACCGTCAGACCTGCCCTTGGGGGGAATCGTTTTCAGATTGAGATTTTTGCAAATTCATATTTCAATTAAAGGAGTGCAGCCAAATCATGTTAGTGAAAAAAACTAACTTCTGATCTGTATTAATAACTGGACTGAACTAAAATTTACTTGAAGAATAGCAGTGATGTCATCTCCCATTCTCTTTCTCCACATATTTTCTGGTTATCCCTACTGTTACTGTTAAAACTTTTTTTTTAAATTCAAAATGGAAAAGTTAAGAGTTAAATATTTTAACATATTTGCGGTCTATCTAGTGAGGATGCAATACAGGCTACAATACTGACAACTGTGTAGTCTGATTTGATGTTTCCCTACAATATTTGTTTTCTACAGAAGCCCTAAGCAGCCATCGATTCAACCATTTTTTTACTCCGTTTTTCCTGTGATAACGGGATCATTTTCTCGTGATCTCGAGATAACAAAACAGCAGTTTAACACAGTGGTTTAATGGTAATTTCACTGTGTGTAGCAGTATCACTGGTTAGATCAGTTGGTAGAGCACAGAACTTATATTCTTGGAGTTGTGGGATTGATCCTCGCAGATGACCAACTTTATTTTATTTTTACACTTATTCATAATCTTCTTCAACAAAGTTCTTATGAAGAGACAGGAAATTGTTTCACCTCCATCAACCTATGAACTTTTCATTTCATTCCCAAGCAGAGGAAATTCCTCTGGTTCTCATTCGGGGCAATCCATTTAATGTTACACATAACTTTGAAATAGCCATGGGAAATGTGTGATTGGATTCCCCTGAACCTATTCATAACAACTTTGCTGAAGAGGATAATAAAAAACACACAAAAGAAGAAAAAAAAGTTGCGCTCTACCAACTGAGCTGACCAGTCACACAGCAAAGTGCCCTGAAATTATCATAAAGAAACACACCGGCCGACCCTTGTATTCCGCTATGGTTTGTTGATTGTTGATCTTGAGATGGTTTGTTGATTGTTGATCTTGAGATCGCGAGAAAATTATCCCGTTATCACAGGAAAATGGAATAAAATAAAAATTTGAATGGATGGCAGCTTAGGGCTTCTATAGTTTCCTACCTTTCGGTTAACCACTATTAATTTAATCTAAAATCTGTGCTACATCGCCGCACACCGGCAGCGTCATACAGAAATGTGGACCCTGAACATAGGCATTCTCAGTGGATGGAAGATGGATCTTAGTGGATGAGCACAAAAAGGATTGTGTTGCATCATGTAGCATCAGTCTGCATTATAAATACTAAAAAGGATCAAATACTACAACTGAGTGTTGACATTAATAGCGGTAGGCAATTCAGTGTGCCCCATACTGACATCAAAAGCCATGTTTTGAACCACGACCAAAGTAGCTAGCAGCTATACTTTTCTGTAAAAGCAGAAATGGTTTTGAACAAACCTGTAGCCGACACAATGTTTTCATAAAGCTGCATTCACTCTATAACAGCCTAAATCCCAAAGCCAAACCGTAGAGAGAACAGCTCCCCTCTGACTGATGTTACAGGTCCACCTTAAACACAAACATGTATTTGTTATGTTAGTTAAAGGTGGGCTCTGTAAATGGGAAACCGAAAAAGTGACTTGGATCAAGCCACACAACATTATTTCAGCTATGATTTGTGTGTCAGGTAACGTGAAATTACTCGCCCACGGACATTCAACTTACTTTCTAGTTCACCACACATGCTGTTGTTAGCTACAGAAGCAGTTGTTAGTATCGCTGTCTGGAGCTGGTGTGCATCTCATTCTCTCTGCATATTCACAGCATGTAGCAACAGTTTGCTAACACACAACTTCGCAAAGGTTATATGCTTGCTTATAGTACTTGCTAATACTTGCTGTGGGCAAGTGGTCTGTTGAAAGCTGGACTCAAAAACCTCCATCCTGCCACTTTCACTACTTAGGGGATCTTCAAAAGTCTAACATTTAGTTTGTTTTAATTGTTGCTTTTAAGATTGTGGATAATGTTTTTCAATCCTATCCGTATTACTAAATGGATCTAAAAAACTAACAACATACTGCTTAAAAAGGGGAGTTTGTAAACCAGTCATGTATCGAAAGTTGAAATTTGAACAAGTCAGTCATGACCACTCTATATTTAGATCAGTCCAGAGAACACAGCTGCTTTGTTTGGATCAGTCTTCACCAATGTCATCAGCACATCCCATCTTCAAGTCTGCTGCTAACTAAGACCGGTGCACAATATATTTACGATGCTGATCACATATTCTTCATAGCTGCCTTTTACACTATGCGTGCATCTTCTGTGCACACTATTCTTCGTTTTTGAGGCTTGCAATGAATTTTTTCTTTCCACATGGTGGTGAAAACGAAATTATTCCTTCACAGGAGGTTCAATTAGGAAATAAAATAGGAAAGATCATATTCTTTTGCAGAATGTGAATAAGGGGTTTGCATGGATGAGTTCAAACTTCGTCTTAAGGCAAAACCATCCGTGAGCCAGTAATCTAGTTAGAAAATCCCAGAGTTACTGCCACTGACAGTTACATGCAAACATCTATGTTGAATTATGTAGGCCACTCACCCAGTTAAGTAACACCAAATATTTACCAAGTGATCATTTGGGTCAGATCTTCACAACACATATCAGAGGTCAGCTCTGGTGTCTTGGCCAATAAATCGCTGCCCTCTGAGCACACAGCAGTGTGCAATATTATTCTTGAACAAAAAAAAAGGAAAAGATCAAAAACACAGGCAAGTGTACCAAAATAAAACAAAACACAACAAGCAAAGAAAGAATCAAACTCTGCCTCTCCCTGATCCTCTGGGTCTTTTTTTCTACAACAAAAGCCCTAAAGGCCAAGCTGACATGGTCTCACCCCAACGGCCTTTCAGCTTATTTCCTCTTTTGAATGCGTCACAGAAAACTGTGCTCGAGCCCAGCTGGAATCACTGTGGGGAGAGGAAGGCTTTGTAAAACAAACATGATGGAGTAAAATATTTGATCCGCTCGCTTTGCCCAAAGGTCAAGGTTGTAGTAGCCTGCAGATGACCTCCTAGGTCATGGATCAAACCAAGCATACAGAGTCAGCCATTGGCGTAAGGAAAGGCTAGTGTCTATCAATGACAAATTAATTCCGATGTTTTTGTGAAATTTCAGATGAGTGGGTTTTGAATATAAAGGGGGATTTAAATCATTTTCTTGGAACTGGCTCAACTAAATGGAATGCAGTGGTTTTAATGTATTTAATTACACGTGTGCTTTTCCTGCTATGATAAGTCAAAATTTATTTTCTGTTATAATGGTTACTAATCAGACGCTTGGAGGAGACTAGATGGCTTTTACTGTAATCAATACGTTTTTAAAATGTGCGGGACAGCATAGTTGTAAAATGACACAAAATCAACAGGTTAAGCTTATTGGTTTATTTCACTCTGGTTTCAGAAGTAGTACGACCTTTTATGTATAATCTAGAACCGATTAACATCTGGTGTATCAGGTTAATGCTGTTAACTACCTGGCTAGATAGAAAACCCTCAGGATGTGGTACTTATATACGAGGACTGAAAACTACTGCACAGCAAACATTCTGAGTTATCATAGTAGGAAAATCATAGGTGTCACAAATAATAACAATAATAATAGTAATCATCATCATCATCATCGTCTTCATCATCATCATCATCATCATAATAATAATAATTAGTGGCTCTGTTCTATTTAAGTGTCCCAGTAGTTCAGCATTTTTGGGAAATATGAGTATTTGCTTTCTTGCCGAGAGTGATAAGATAGATATAACTCTCGAGTATGTAGCTGAAGCTGGGAGGTGATTAGCTTAGCAATAGCATGAAGAAAGGAGAAAACCGTTAAAAAAATAAGCATACCAGCTTTAAAGCTCCTTAGTTAACACATTGTCTCTTGTTTGTTTAATCAGTACACAAACAGAACTGTAAAAATGACAGAGGTTTCAAAGAGAACAGGCTGTAAATCTTGGCAAACATCTTGTGGCAGCTGTAACTTGTGACGTTGACGTGGCAAGCAGCGGACAGACTGAAGAGCTGAGTGGATAGATAAACTGTTACAAATAGTTACAGTCCCCCCCCCCCCCCAAATCACAACATGTCATTTTACACTTTACTTTGTGTATGGATTAAAAAAAACAAGCCACAACATGTTAATTATTGAGTTTTAGAGGCGTTGGTGAGGTATCTTTATGCTAAGCTAAGCTATAACCCCTTTGCTCTAGCGTCATAGTTAACACACAGACATGAGAGTGGTTTTGATCATCTCATCTAACTCCTTGGGTGACAGAAGTATCAAAAAATCATTAACTCAGCCATGTTGTTGTTGTTGTTCTCTTATAACCACCTCTTTCTCTCTGTCCTGCCCCCCCCCCCCCCCCAACCCCCCTGATTCCAGCAGCCGTTCCTGGAAGTGAAGGTTCTCGAGACGACCAAACGTTCTCGGAGAAACCTCGGCCTGGACTGCGACGAGCACTCCACCGAGTCTCGCTGCTGTCGCTACCCTCTGACTGTGGATTTCGAGGCGTTCGGCTGGGACTGGATCATTGCCCCCAAACGTTACAAAGCCAACTACTGCTCCGGACAGTGCGAGTACATGTTCATGCAGAAATACCCGCACACCCACCTGGTGCAGCACGCCAACCCCCGAGGCTCCGCAGGGCCCTGCTGTACTCCGACCAAGATGTCCCCCATTAACATGCTCTACTTCAATGACAAGCAGCAGATCATTCATGGCAAAATCCCAGGGATGGTGGTGGATAGATGTGGCTGTTCTTAGGCTAGAGGGGAGATGCACACTTGTGTACAGCCACCATCGCATCAAACCATCCAAAACCCTTACGGAGCTCTCCCCTGGCACCAGAACCCACTCCTCGGCACCAGATTTCACTTTTTGCTCAGACACAAAATCATCCCACTGGGTTTCATCCAGTAATTAAATTGATTCTAACTGTAAAAAAAATGTTTAAATGAAACATGAATCAAAAAAAAAGGACTGAGTGATGGAAATACAGTACATTATGAATGATTTAAAGAGGCTGTCCTTGTGGAGCAGCTTCAGAAAACGGTAAATGAGACAAAACTATGTTATAGAGTACATGTTAGTTTTGTGGGTTTTTAAAGATTTTGTTTTTTAAATGGCATCTTTGTGAAATGTCCAGGTTAGTGGATTAGATGACAGGAGACATAAGCATTTACAATATTTTTAAAGCAATTTCAATCCTACGGTGAGTTTGGAAATACGTAATTTCACAAATACACTTACTTAAAGGTGACATTTGATCCACAAAAATGTTTGCAAGGGGGCATGATCAGTATTATTTTGCAATCCTTTACTTTAACAAAAGGAACAAAATCCATGCTGATGTGAGGAGGGTTTACCGTTAGAAATACTCTTGGCATATATCAAAAATCTTGTTTACAGATGTTTAGAGATGTGCTGTAGAGATGTAAAGTGTTGAGGAGATCCAAAACCAAACCTATACCCTCTATTAATGTATAACACCCCAGTGTGACATTCTCGAGTATCTACGAAACCTTTCACAGTTACTTTGATCTTTTTTTTATTTGTAGTCTTGTAAAACTCGAAAAGGAAAAGGGAGAAAAGAGGTTATACTATGTTAACTCTATCTTTCCAAGCAGATAAATAAAGCCAGTATAGCTATTTCTGCCAGTCTGCAAAAGTAGATAATACAGATTTAGGTTCCACTTGCACACTAAAATCTAAAAAAGTACTGTAATGCAGATGCACTCTGAAGTCATTCGGCAGTGCCCGGGAAAGTAGGAGGAGCAGGGTCCTGCAGGATGACAAGAACACGACAGATTTCCTTTCTTCTTTACCTAACAAAGGAAAATACACTTTAACACCTTCGACTTTTGCATTAAACAGAGAAGCAAATGCACAGTTTCCTAACTTGAATAGGCCTGGGACATGTAATAACAAACAGAAAACAAAATCCATCCCCTGAACACTTGGGGGTGTCAGTATGCTCAAGTGTTCACCCTGCTGTAACCTGAACGCATTATTGAGCTGAAAATAGCACAAAACATGATTACAGTAATATCACTAGAAGTTTACACAGTAATACTTACAGCAGTGTTCACATCTGTGTTAAAATAACAGGTAAATTAAGAAAGAGCTCCATTGCTCACACAGACCCATTTCATTCAGAATTCTACTTTCCCAATACTACTTTCAGAAAAATAAGAATGCAAAGTGTTTTAACTGCAGTACTGTACTCAGAAATAATAGCTTTTATAAATCACAACAAACCACATAACGTGTGCAAAAAAAATCAAGAGAATGTAACTCAACCACTGTTTTTAGCTTAGAGAACATATTTGATTGCGTTTTGAAATGCCCCCATCCACCTTTCACCACAACTGTATCGTCATTATTATAATGGAGAAAATATTGTTAGTGCTTGAACAGAGTAGATTAGTATGCTTGAAGTCTGTCTTTGTCTCCTGGCTGTCAAAGCAAAGATATCCTTTTGTTGTAAACGAAAGCACTATGCCGTTGGATAAAGGAAGAGCCTTCTGACATTATATAAATGATATATGTATATATTAAAAAAAGGGGGTACAAAATCCTTTTTTGGGGCACTCTACCTTACCAACAATAAATTTTGCACTATGGGACGTTTATGGCGTGAGGAGGTAAAGTGTTGTTTGTGTTTTACCAAGCACAAGAGAGCTTGTACAGTATAGGATTAAAAAAAACTATTCAAGCTTATGGTGATGAACCATAAACTAGAGAGGTTATCACTTCTTTTTGATACCATCACGCTTTCCTGACTTTTGTCCGAAGCGGGTGCCTGTCCATACACTCACACACTTCTTCGTCCAATCTGGAACCTGGACGTACTGTACCAGCGGCCTGAAAGGCCTCCTTGCCTACTTTGGGTGATAAGTCATGTGTATTATAAGTGTCTGGATCAATGAACATAGAATGCTTTAACTGGAAATGGCCCGCCCACCAACTTTAATCTGTTACCATGTTAGAGAGACTACGTCCTTTTGACTCAAACAATGTGTCGACTGTCTTGCGTAGACATGCTTTTGCCTTTGTGTGTATTTTAAGTGAAAGCACCCATGTAAGAATGGGAGGAGTATCCAGGGATTGTTAGCCAAAGTAGAGGATGACATGTTGTGTGCTGTAACTTTTGTGATCGCAGGAATATGCTAGAACATTTCAAAGGGAGGGAAAAAAGCTGGTTTAGGGGCAGTGGTTGGAAATAATTCAACTGGTCAATTGTCTATTTATTAATATTAATTACAATGCATTTCAAAGTCTGTCTACCTCACTTTAGCCTTCTAAAAAACTTGCTTTTTAAAAATTGTCATCCATTAATCTGTGCAAACATTTAACCCATAAGAACCCTCCCCCCATCCAAAAAAAAAAAAAACACGTAGATGAAAACCACAGGGTCCCCTTGCTCTCAGGTTCAGATTGAGTTGTTGACAAGAGTGACTGATGGTAGCGGCTCTGGTAATGTGTGGTCAAAAGAAATAATTAGCTGTGCCCACATGTATGGCTTGTTAAGAAGTTGCATTTTGAATTTTAGTGTTTGAATACTGGTATGTGTGAGAGTGTTTTCATATAAATATATGAGAGTAAGAAATCTCTATGTAAATACCTACCCAAATGTTGACATTTATGATGTTTTGGACAGGTTCACCGCTTCTAATGTTTTTCTCACTTTCCCCCTTCATTCCTCCGTTATTTGTGTAGTTTAAAAAAAAATCACCCCAACTTTGTAGTTTAATGGTTGTGCATATGAATAACTGTTCAATTGTTATTTTTGCCTTTTGTTGTTTATTTACTGTCATTTTTCTTTTGTACAATAAATCATTTATTTAGCTTATGTAATTTGTCGTCCATTTCTTACAGAGTCTTGTGCATCTATTTAACACTGCTCCCTACCTGGATTGGGATGTACCAGTTATTCATGAATGCCTACATTTGTGTGTAAGGTCCTTCTTAGACAAGTTCTTAGATGAAGGAACTAGCTGGTGAACATAGTGAAGCATTTAGCAGCTAAAGAACCAGATATTTCCCCCAGGAGTTACTGGAAACCAAATACAGAGCTAAAAGGAGAGTGAATATTGGACTTACATTCATCAGGTGGCCAGAAACACAATTCATGCTAATGTTGCTCCATATACGATGCATGTGTAAATATGCATGTTTGCTAACAGTTGCGTCATATCAACTAAAAAGCTGATAAGATGTCAGTGTTGTGTTCACAGCTTGTTTCTGGTCAAATCAGTCATTGAAGCTTAATGAAATGTCGAGACTTCACTAATGTGTAAACTGGTTGCTATGAAACATCAGCGTTAGTAGTATGCAGTATAGAGTGAGACACTTATGCTAACCAAACTTGACATAAAATGCTCTTATAGTCTAACATTATTAGTATAACATTTTGAGGTATTGTTATATTCTCATGAAATGTGATTGAAATTATTTTCAGTTTAACATTACATAATTATTAAACGGCCTTTTGCTCAAGTAGTAGGCTGTATCCACCATCCATGTCTATCTAAATAGGTCATAGATTAGCAACTAATGTTAGCTTTGTCAGTTCCTTCAGGTAGTTAAGCAATGCTACAGTTGGTTCTTCGTAAGTTCAAACGTAGCTTCAGAATAATATGTTTACTGAGTGAAAATGTCCGCATTATTAAATTAAAACAGTTTGGACCAAACAAACTTCTTACGCAATGTTGTATATAGTTGCTCCCACTAACTGCGTAACCAGCTAAAACAACAAAAAGTTAACATTAGCTTGCTAATATATGAACTGTTAAGAAAGAAATAATAATATTATACCGGTTATATATATTTAAATACAATTTTCGTTTCTCACTAAGTCATTCCTTATCTGGATACCCTTAATGGTGCAAACTGATTTTGTAAATCACTACTTTGAAGAACTTGGATTCATGCAAAAATTTTGTCATAGACTTCTGAATAGCGCAAACCAGTCCAGGTACACCTGGCTGGGTGTAAAAATTTGTTAAGCACTTTATTTTTTTAAGAACTAGTTTGTGCAGAGCAATCCATTAGACTTTAATGATGCCTAAGTCTCCACTTAGTAAACACTTCAGAATCATAGAAATATCACATGAAAATTTGGACTAGAAACCAAAAAATTATTTTAATATTTTTCCTTTTTTTTGACAGTGTGCAGCTATTCTGGAAATTATATTCTGTCTACGGGAATCGTAGTAGATTTTAGTCACTGGAATCAGAATATAAAATACGCCCTCCTCCCAAGGTTGCTCGCACATCTTCAGAAGCACACACACTTTCTTAAGCCACTGGTGGCATCCTGATTCTTGAAAAACAGTAATGGGCAGCAGAGGTGGCAGGAAGCAGATTCACCGCGAGGCTAATTGGTGAAAGAGAGCGCTCAGAGGACAAAGGTTTAGTGTTGGGGTTTGGGTTGCCATTATTTGGATGTCATATAAGATCCAGCCTGACCCAATTAATATGCCACCTGATAGGAGGGCCTCTCATCAACCTAATTTAGAGAATCAATAGGGGACAAATGAGAGTGAGAACTAAGCTCTTTACGGATGCAAACAGACAAAGACCACCCAGTACAAGCTCGAGGACACTGATGCCAGCAATGACATAAACCTTTTGACAAATCCTCACTTGACATAAACAAACATTCACACAGTCCCCTGCCCCTCAAGTGCATCAATGTGCCATACACATCATCAGTCATACCCGCCCTACATGGACAAGGGAGGACATTGATGGATGTTTTTTATTGTTTTGGCACATAAGGAGTAGTTGTACAAGTTGGATATGAAGTGTTAGAAGCTGAATGCTGCCCCCAAAGCCTTAAGACTACTAACATGATGAACTCTGACTCAGCTTCATTAAATAAAGACTAAACTATTCCATGGAGGCTCTTGTGGAAGGAAAAAAAGTACAGTACAATGGGAATATTGAAAATGTTACAAAGCCATCAAGAAAGGCAGGCAGGGGCTGGGAGGATTTAGGGAGGAGCTTTATGGCAATTATAGCCATAAAGTTAAGAAAGAAGGTGAATTGGGGGCAGCTTTCAATAGCTTAAATTGCTGGACACAGTCATCAGTAACACCTTTTTGTCTGGCTCACTGACTGGCCGGTGTTTAGAGAGGGGAAATGTTCAGGGAAGATCACACGCTGTCTTATGGGATGAAAGAATCTCACATGACAATAAAATAAACTGTGGAGACAGAAGATTTGAGTCACGATGCTTCAACGCAGCCGGACAAAGCTTATAAAATTTGTTTAAACCACATTCATCAACAAGGAGTACCAGTGGACTTAAGTGTGTGGTTGACTATTATATTGCTCATTGAATTTGTGTTGGGCTTCAAAATAATGAGTGGATAAGTGGCTATAAAATCATGTTTTGGGGCAATAATTACAACATAAAAATTACAGTTATCAGTTTTATTACAGTATCTCACTTGTTTCAACATGGATGTGTTCGCTAGCTTTAGTTTAAGGTTTAAATAGTCTCATTTAACTGAATTGTCACCCTTAGCTTCATATCACTGATACCTTGATGCCTTAGTTTATTTAGATTTATTTACACTGAATCATTTGTTTTGTTAGTAAGCTTTGTGCCTGTTACGACTTGTGTAATAGAAAGCTTTGAGAAAAAACATCCATGTTACATCACTGTTTTTAGCACAGGCTTTTGTTTTGCAGTTAATACTGTTATTAGTTGTATTGTACTACATGCTATTTTTATAAACTTCAGTAGCAGAACTTCAGTGTAGTGTATAGAAAATATCTTACATCTCTTCCGCTACATGTGTGATTTACTGTGAACGAAATTTGAGACAATTAGAAAGTTGCTTGAATCTGCATTTTGATCCATCTTTATTTTGATTCACCTCTTGCATAACATGCAGACATTAAATCAGTTTAGGCTCAGGTCTGTGGTTCAGTGTCTCTGCTGTCATGTCCTGTGACTGACAGCTGTCATTCTTTTGTGCTTGCAGTGCACCATCTGGTTCGAAGCTGACAATTGCAGGCTCCGCCATAGATGGTGGTGAGGTGCCTTCCAGTGGGCCTGGCTGACACTCCTGCCTGCCTTGCCAGGGCATGTTGCTGTGCCGTCCCACAGATCTGAGAGGATACCTGGGGACAGGATTACCGCCCCTACCCTGAAGGATTTCCTTTATCTCAGTCAGGCCCAAAAAGGAAGCAACAAAGGTCTTAATTATACTCACATCTGTACATCCTTTCCATGCAGTGGAGCCTTTTAATTCTGATTAATGCAACAACATTAAACATTAAACATTAAACAGTATTCAAGGAGAAACTGAATCTGTCTATATTGAATCTGAAAATAATTAAAGACACAGCACAAGTGAATATTTCCTCAAGACATAAAGGTGCTGTGACAAATCCCCTTCCAGGTTTTATTTTGTGAGAATAATGTCTGAAAATAGTTTATTTTAATTAAAGTTTTCTTTTAAATAACAGCAATCCATATTGGTTCTATCAATATCAGTGACAGGAATAATTTAATAATACAGACATGTAAATTAAAAAAGTGCTGAAGGAATTTTAAAAAGCAACGACAATCTTTTGCATATTTCAGTATCTTTGCCTGAATGTATTTAAAATTGTGGCATACAATTATCTTATTCATATCCATATGTAAAGTAGATGTAGATATTCTCAAGACAAAACATAATATTAAAATATTAAAATGTTACGGTATTACAATGCAAAACCCACAGACGTCAAAGGATATCAGAAATTGATCAAATTAATTCAAACCACAGAAGTCTTAAAGGAACATATATCAACAAGCAAAACATAAAGCAAGAAATCTCTCCTGCAGGAGTGTAAAATGTGAGAAATGAATTCTCTCTCTGGTTCCTGCAGGTACAACATCCTAATGATGAATGATGAAAACATGAAGCAGCAGCTTCACCTCAGCCAATACACAGCAAACTGCACATTCCGTCCACTCATTTTGAACGCTCCTCACAGCAGTGTGTGATTACTTGAAAGTCAGTCGGACATCTCTCTTTTGGCAACAACAGGAATCAGCCCTAGAGTGAAAAACAAAACCTTTTGTCCCACGCTGTCGTCCTGCAGTCCTGGTAATAATCCTAAATCTGCCTGGGTTTTTGGAACAACATCTGCAATCTGTAGCACAGCTATATCCTTATATAAAAAAAACACAGGACTATCATACGAAGTGTTGTTAATATTAATATTAAGATGATATCAGGTAAACAATGGGGGGGGGGGCGGTGATGATATTTAACAAAACAAAAAAAGCATCAGGATGCCCTTCTCTATATCCATGCTCTTTCTACAATGTGATTCCTTGTGGGTTCTTCCCTTGAGTTGCTTTAGATCAAATTCATTGGGATGATATGATAAAAAATGGGAAGGTTATATGAGGACACAGCTGCACTCCCTCTCTAATGTGGTTGGGCTGGACACACTGAAATATTCCAGGTCACTGATCAAACCTCCAAAAACACAACCCTTGATCAAGTCATTCTTAAACCCCTCCTCACACACAGCCATATTCAATGTGCATGAAAATGAGAAAACAAACAATTAGAAATCATTTTCTGCATGTTTTGTGATTAATATATTTTTAGAAACTGAGGCATGACACAATTCACATCACACTGCAGGGAGTGTGTGTGTTATTATACTTTTTTATATATTTGACTTAAATGCATGTATGTAAATTAATTGCTCTTTTTATTTTGGATAATTTGAGACAAAATTGTAATATTTGCACTCTAGTTTGAGAAGAATTACAAAAGTCCTTCACAAATCTCAAACTTTCATCTTTTCATGTAGTGTTGATGTTTATGTAAA